TCTCCGTGACCTTTCCCAGGAGCCAGCTGCTCCCCACCGGCTGCGAGCTTCCCACGTGGAATTTCTGCGGGATTAATGCCGCGCCAACTCGTTGGAGCCGGGCAGGGCACGGGGGCAGGCGCGGGGAGCGGGCCAGGGATGCTTCACGCAGGTGAGAGGAGCGCGGGGCGAGGCACGAGGCCGGCGGCCAGAAATCCGCCCACCCGTTCCTGGAAAACCCAAGGCACGCGGAGCCGGGCCCGGCGGCGTCCCGAGGTCACGGATGGGCAGGGAGAAGGGAAAAGGGCGTTCGGGTCACGGCCTGCCGGGCACGAGCTCTGGGTTTGCCAGGTGGCGAGGGAAGAGCGGGTTTTTGGGGAGGAGATCCAAACCCCAGGAGGAAAATGTGGAAAACACGGCTGAATTCGCTCCGTTTGCCCCCAGATCTGCTGGACCTGGCTCAGATGGTGCTGAGGACAGAGGGGCCCCAGCGCCTGCCCCGGGGGTACGAAATCGTCCTCTCCATTTCCGTCAACAACGCCGACAAAGTCGGGGTCTTCCATGTGCAGAGTAAGCATTTCCCCCCCGTTTTTCCCTCTTTTCCATCACCTGGGAAACTCTGGAGATGAACAGGCAGAGGGAGGGGGGACACAAAGCCCTTTATCCAAGTCCACGCGGCAAAGGAGCGGCGGCAAACAGCTCGGTGTGTTTGTAAGGAAAGGCTGAGACCTTTCCCCTCATCCCTCTGGTCCACGACAAAATTCCAAGCCCTTCAACTCCTGCTTCGAGGTGCCTCTCCCAGCTGGATCTCCTCAGAGATCTGAGGGATCCCGTGGAAACGCACCCCAAAAACGCACCGGGAGCCTTCAGGAAAAGCCGTGCTCCCGCTATCCCAGCGTCCCCAAACACCCGGGGTTCAAAACCCGCACCCCCGGGTGGCCCTGCTCACCTTTCCCGTGCATATTTGGGTTACCCCAGCCCTGTTTCCTCGGGCAGGCGCGAATCCCGATAAACCTCGGGATTTCCGTGTTTCCTTTCCCCGGCAGATCCCTTCTTCGGGCAGCGCTACGTGCAGGTGCTGGGCCGCAGGAAGCTGTTCCACGCCGTGCCCTACCCCGGCGGGGCCGCCGAGCTCCACTTCTTCGTGGAGGGGCTGCGCTTCCCCGACGAGACCTTCTCCGGGCTGGTGTCCATCCATGTCAGCCTCCTGGAGCCGCTGGCCGAGGTCGGAAACTCCTGGGAACGTCTGGGAATTTCTGGGAACTCCCAGGAAATCCTGGGAACACCTGGGAACTCTTGGGAGCTCCTGGAAACTCTTGGGAACTCTTGGGAATTCCTGGAAACTCTTGGGAACTCTTGGGAATTCCTGGGAACACCTGGGAACTCCTGGGAACACCTGGGAACTCTTGGGAACACCTGGGAACACCTGGGAACTCTTGGGAACTCTTGGGAATTCCTAGGAACTCCTGGGAACTCCTGGGAACTCTTGGGAACTCCCAGGAACTCCCGGGAACTCCCGGGAACTCCCAGGAACTCCCAGGAACTCCTGGAAATGGGGCAGATGGGAGGCTGCGCCCAGGAGCTTGGGATGGTGCTGGAAGGGAGAGCGATCCCGCTAACTGATCCCAAGAATGACCTCAGGGGAGGGTGTTTTGGGGGGGAGGAACGTCCCTGATCCCTGCTTGGCTCCCTCAGGGCATCCCGCACTCGCCGATCTTCAGGGACACCGTGGTGTTCCGGGTGGCGCCGTGGATCATGACCCCCAACACGCTGCCCCCGCTGAACCTCTTTGTCTGCAGGTACAGCTGGCGCCTCCCCGGCCCCCCGCTGCTGGGAACAGGGAATCTCCCTCCTTCCCACCCTTCCCATCTTTTCCTCCAGCATGAAGGACAACTACCTGTTCACTAAGGAGATCCAGAGCCTGGTGGCCAAGGCTGGCTGCAAGCTGAAGCTTTGCTTCGGCTACATCAACCGCGGGGACCGCTGGATGCAGGTAGGGGGGCTCCAAAAAGCGGGGGAACCCTTCCCTGCCCGTGCCCCATGCGGGATTTCCTCCCTTCCTCAGGATGAGATCGAGCTCGGCTACACCCACGCTCCCCACAAGAGCTTCCCGGTGGTGCTGGACTCCCCTCGGGAGAGAGGGATGGAGCAGCTCCCCGTCAAGGAGCTGCTGGTGAGAGAAGCTTCCCTGAATTCCCTGCGGAGCAGCTCCCAGGGCTCCTGCCCAGCCCACGTTTCCAAAACCTTCCTTGCCCTCGGCTCCAGGCGTGGAATTGGCTGGAAAATGAGAGCAGAATGCTCCACAGGGAGATTCCCTCCTCCCAGCCGCCTCCATTCCCTCATCCCCCCGCCAGCCTCACCCTCCAGGAAACCTCTGATCCAGAGGGGAAAGGAGGAGCTGCTGCCCCAGGAATGATCCTGCCAAGCTCTGGGATTCCTCCCAGGGATGGGCTGCTTCTTCCCTTCCTCCTCCCTGCCTGGGAAAATCCAGCAGCTTCCAGGCGGGAGAGGGAAGGGAAGCAGGAAAGGGAAGCAGGAAAGGGAAGCAGGAAAGGGAAACAGGAAAGGGAAGCAGGAAAGGGAAGCAGGAAAGGGAAGCAGGAAAGGGAATCAGGAAAGGGAAGCAGGAAAGGGAAGCAGGAAAGGGTCAGTTTGCTTCCTCGGAAGAGAGCGGGACGCAGCCGGTGGCAGGGACATCCCTGCGGGCTCCTGGGCAGAGGAAAAGGGCCGGGGCAAGTCTGGGATGGGGCGTTTTGGGAGAGCCCAGCATGGAAAACAGCCGGATTGGGCGATCCCTTGGAGATATCCCCACGGGGGAAGGGCAGGACACCCCCAGGCCGCCTCGGAGCCGCTGTCCCCAACTCCCATCCGGGCTCTGGAGCAGCCCCAGCCCCAGCAGGAACAGGAGACGAGGACAAATCCCAGCTTTTGTCCCTTTGGGGAAGGCTGGGGGCTTTGGGGAGCGCTGGAATCCATCCTTTCTCATGCCTGGCATGGGAACATCCAGTCCCGGAGTCATCCAGTGAATCCTAACGAGGGATCTGCCCTCTTTAGGAATTGCTCTGCCTCATATTTAGGGCAGCAATTTCAACCTTGGGAGCTGCTAACACATTATCCTCCAATTTCTGCTTTGAAGCCTGCCCTAATCCGCCGCCCGACCTTTCCAATCTCATTTTCCAGCTAGGAATACTCAGCCCCGTGCCATGGGCACGGGTCATGAGCCCCTGGAAGCCCATGCCAGGGAAAAAGGAGACGGGAGGGAATTATCCCCTCAAAATCAGCGTGGAACTGATAGGACTTGGATGTGACCCTCAAACCCGGGATGAACCAGAGCCCTGACAGTTGAAACCAGGCCGGCTCCGTGGTTTTATTAAGCTGAAATGAGTCGGGAGCAGGTGGTTGCTGCTCAGGCTCTCCCTCAGCACCCAGAGAAAAAGGGATCTGATCCCGGCCGTCCTGCGGAAACGCACCCCAAAAACGCAGCGGGAGCCTCGGGAAAAGCCGTGCTCCCTCTATCCCAGCGTCCCCAAACACCCCGGGCTCAAAACGGGAATTTCCGGGTGGAAGCACCCCCCGGGTGTCCCTGCTCGCTTTTCCCGGCCCTGTGTATTTGGGTTATCCCCATGGAAACCCAACCCTGATGAGTGACCGGGATTTAAGTCAAACCTCACGGACACCTGATCCCATCCCGTGTGCTCTGGGCCTGCATCGGCTCCAACCGGAGCGCAGGAAAAGTGGGATTTGGGTCCCATCCCTGCCGGTTTTGCCGTTTTTAACACTCCCCCGGGCTTTGGCACAGCGAGCAGAGCACTAATTACCCCTGCACTGGGCATAAATCCTGGAAATCAGGGCTTAAGAAGGATTCAAGTGCCAGGCAGGCCTTGGGGTGGCTCGTAGCCCAGGGCAGAGTCACCCTGGGGGCTGGAGTTCACCTCCCTCCCAGAGCCAGCCAGGAGCTTCCCTCCCGGCTGCCTAATTAGCTTAATGTGGACACTTAAACCTTGGCTTAATGTGGACACTTAAACCTTGGCTGGGGAGAACAGAGGAGATCTGGTCCTGCTTAATGTGGACACTTAAACCTTGGTTTAACCTGAACATTTAAACCTTGGCTTAATGTGAAGCTTGGAACATTAAACCTTGGCTGTGGGATGACAGAGGAGATCTGGTCCTGCTTAACATGGACACTTAAACCTTGGTTTAACCTGAACATTTAAACCTTGGCTTAATGTGAACACTTAAACCTTGGCTTGGGATGACAGTGGACATTTAAACCTTGGTTTAACCTGAATATTTAAACCTTGGTTTAACGTGAACATTTAAACCTTGGCTGTGGGATGACAGAGGAGATCTGGTCCTGCTTAATGTGAATATTTAAACCTTGGTTTAACATGGACATTTAAACCTTGGTTTAACATGAACACTTAAACCTTGGTTTAACGTGGACACTTAAACCTTGGCTGTGGGATGACAGAGGAAATCAGGCCCAGGCTCTCCCGATTATTCCCACACCTCCATGACCCCAAGACCTTTCTCCTCCCGCCTTCCCTGTGCCCTCGCTGTCCTCACCCACCCCTCGGGCGGATAAAACCACGGGGACATCGCTGCGGGCTCCTGGGCAGAGGAAAAGGGCCAGGGCCACTCTGGGATGGGGCGTTTTGGGAGAGCCCAGCATGGAAAACAGCCGGATTGGGCGATCCCTTGGAGATATCCCCACGGGGGAAGGCGCTTCAGGGCACTTCTTCTTTCCCCAGGGCCCCGATTTCGGCTACGTGCACAAGGAGCCCCTGGTTGAGGCCGTGGCCAGCCTGGACTCCTTCGGGAACGTGGAGGTCAGCCCGCCTGTGTCCGTGGCTGGCAAGGAGTATCCCTTGGGAAGGATCCTCATCGGCAGCAGCTTCCCTGCGTAAGAGAGCGGGGAAGAGCAGCTTTGGGAAAAGCGGATTTGGGAGCCTCGGAAAGCCCCGAAACAAGCGCCCACCAAAATTTGGTTTATTGGGTTAGTCAGACACTGCCTGGGCAGGGTGAGGGCTCCCGGGCTCCTCCAACTCAGTGGCAATTTGTGTCCAAGAATCCAGGCAGATGTTGGTGGGAATGTTCTCCCAATCCAGGAATCCAGGCAGATATTAAAGGGAATATCCTCCCAGTCGGAGAATCCAGGCAGATATTGAAGGAAATGTTCTCCCAATCCGAGTATCCAGGCAGATGTTGATGGGAATATCCTCCCAATCCGAGTATCCAGGCAGATGTCAATGGGAATGTCAACTCAATCCAAGAATCCAGGCAGATATTAAAGGGAATATCCTCCCAATCCAAGAATCGAGGCAGATGTTGGTGGGAATATCCTCCCAATCCAAGAATCCAGGCAGATGTTGATGGGAATGTTCTCCCAATCCGAGTATCCAGGCAGACGTTGACGGGAATTTCCCCCCAGATCCGCGGGCCGCAGGATGACCAGGCTGGTGCGGGATTTCCTCTTCGCCCAGCGCGTCCAGGCGCCCGTGGAGCTCTACTCCGACTGGCTGGCCGTGGGCAACGTCAACGAGTTCGTCACCTTCGTCCCTGCCTCTGACAAAAAGGTACCCCCAGACCCCCCGTGCTGCCCCGGGGCTCCTCCTCCGGGACACAAATCCCGCCGGGAAAACCCCGTTCCTTCGGCACCCCCAGCCGGTGTTCGCTTGGGGTTCATCCCCCGCCCCAAAACGAGGGATCTGAGCGCTAAAAAGGGGATTTTCCTGGGTGCTGATGACCGCAAATAGGAGGTAAAAGATCCAAAGGTATCCAAGAAATTCCAGCCTGAAGTTCCCCTGGGGTTTGTGGCCGCTCAGAGGTTTTTCAGAACATTTCTTTTCCCTCTCTCATGGCTTTTTTTGTTTCTGACATGGAGTTTTCCCTCGGGGAAACCCAGCCTTGACAAGGATGGCTCGAAAAAAAGGAATATTTATGCCCACTCGTCTTCAGAACCTTTCTCTTCCCTCTGTCACAGCTTTGGCTGCTTCTCACATAAATTTTTCCCTCATGGAAACCGAGCCTTGACCCAGATAGCTCCAAAAAGGAATATTTAGGCCCACAAACCCTCGGTGGGCGAAACAAGGCGCTGGATAACAGCAAAAACAGCCGATTTTTGGGAGTTTCAGCTCAGGTTTTGGCAGAAGCGAGTCCCTGGGGGGCCGCAGCTGACCCCGGCCGTGTTTCCGCAGCGATTCCGGATGCTGCTGGCCAGCCCGGCCGCCTGCTACCGGCTCTTCCGCGAGAAGCAGAAGGAGGGACAGGGAGAAGCCACCATGTTCAAAGGCAAGGGGACAGTGCTCGGTGGCACAGCCGGGGACACGCGGGGACATTTTTCCCCGGCTGGTTGTCCTTCAGCGGGATGCCTGCCCGCCGCCCCCAGCCTCCTCCGGCCCTATTTCGGGAATCGAGTGGGATGGGAGGGATAAAGGCCCCTGCGTGGAAGGGATGTTTGCTGCCCCGGCATGGAGCCTCTGGAAATGCCAGCACGGAGAGGGACAACTGGCAGCTCTCATGTCACCCCCCAGATTAGCCCTGGATTTTTTTCCCCCTCTTCATTGTGATTTTGATCCACGACGGGGTTGGGAGGAGGTCTCCGTGTCTCCAAGGATACGGAGCTCCAGCATGGAGAGGGACAACTGGCGGATCAGAACCGGGTTTTTTTCCTTTTCGTTGTGATTTTGATCCGTGGCAGGGCTGGGAGGAGGTCCCCGTGTCTCCAAGGGTTCCTCTGGTCACTGAGGGGGTCCCCAGAGCAGGGGTGACCCCATGGAGAGGGATACTCTGGAGAAATCCAGCGGATTCCCTTGGGCAGGAGGATGGATGGAGCCTTTCCAATGTTCCTTCCAACGGGCAGAGATTTCCTCCCCTTCATCTTCCCAAGCTTTGACCCCAGCCTCAAGAAACCTGGATTTTGGGGGTTTTTCCCATCTCTTTACCCCACCTCAAGCCAGGCTCCCGCCAGCGCTGCTGAGGGTGTTTTGTGTGTCCAGGGTACTCGGGGACAGACACCAAGCGCGTCACCATCAACAAGGTCCTTTCCAACGACGCCCTGGCGCAGCAGAACCAGTACGTCCAGGTAATCCCTGACACCCCCGGGTCACAAACCCCATCTCTGGCAGCGACCACCCCGGCGTGGCTCAAACCCCGCGGGGAGCGCTGGAATCCGGGCTCTGCTCCGTCCCCGGCAGCGCTGCATCGACTGGAACAGGGATATCCTCAAGAAGGAGCTGGGGCTGCTGGAGGAGGACATCATCGACCTGCCGGCCCTCTTCAAGCTGGACAAGCAGGGAAAAGCCGTTCCCTACTTCCCCAACACGGTACTGGGGGATTCCCACCCTTGGGTCATCCCCCAAAAAAATGAGTTCAGTCAGCCAGGATGAGTCCCCAAAGTTTTCCTGAGAAAGGAAAATATCTCCAGGATAAACACGGGTCTAACACAGCTTTGAGGTGGCTTTGGGGTTTTGAGGCGAAACCCTTCCGAAGTGGTGAAATTGCAAGGTGAGAGGCACATTTTCCCCAAAGTTTTCCCACAAAAAACGCCCCAGCTGTCTAGGAAAAGGAAATATATCCAGGTGGGTGTGGATGAACACAGGTGTAACACAGCTTGGTGGCTTTCTCGTGCTTGCAGTGCAATTTTGGAAAAAAGTGGTGAAATTGCAAGGGGTGAGGCGTGCTTTAAAGATAAAAAAAGGGTGGATTCTGTTGGGTTTGGAATCCTGAGGGAGGGCAGCTGCAAAAAGTGGTGCTGAGGAGGGGGACCAAGGTCTTTCCTTTGGTTTCATCCATCCCAACACTCCTGGTGTCACCTGCAGGTCACCATGATCGATCTGGCCATCCCCAAGCCCTTCAGTGTCACCCATTCTGATGCCACTGTCCCTTGGTGTCACCTGCAGGTCATCATGATCGACCTGGACAGGGACCTGGCCATCCCCAAGCCCTTCAGTGTCACCCATTCTGATGCCACTGTCCCCTGATGTCACCCCACAGGTCACCATGATGGTGCTGGCCAGGGACCTGGGCATCCCCAAGCCGTTTGGGCCGGTGGCGGGCGGCGAGTGCTGCCTGGAGCGGCGGATCCGGGCGCTGCTGGAGCCGCTGGGGCTGCGCTGCCGCTTCCTGGAGGACGTGGCCTCCTACCACGGCAGCCTGGGCGAGGTGCGCTGCGGCACCAGCGTCCAGCGCCGGCCCTTCGCCTTCAAGTGGTGGCACTTCACGCCGTAGCCAGGCCTCCTCTTCCTCATCTTCCTCCTCCTCTTCCTCCTCTTCCTCCTCTTCCGCCTCCTCCTTCCGTGTTTGCCCCCAGCGTGTGTTGCGTGCGATTTGCTTAATAAATGAATTTGCTGTGAGGAAAAAGCCGGGGATTTGGATAATCGTAGGGAGTAACTGGGAGGGGAAGGGAGGGGAAGGGCTCGGAGGGGTGAGGAGGGGTGGAGGTGTTACCAAAATCCTCCGAAATTTTCTCTAATGCTGTTTTTGTAGTGCTGGTGAGTCAGGCATCACTTTAGCCTCAGCCTTTTGTGTGTGGCTGACAGAGCTCCAGCCTCCACATCAATACAAAATGTTTTCATTTGTTTACATGTTTTTAACAAAGAAGGCACTGGTCGTGGGTTCTAATAATTCTTTTCATTGATTAGCATTCTGTCCAATATTGGTTATTGTTTTTTCACTCTTCATGCCATGCCGGGCCACATTCTTTAGTTCTTTTATTATCTTTTTCTCTTCTTTTTCAATCAGGAATACCCAGTTTTCCAGGCCTCAATCTACTCTGTATCTTCTGTCCTTAAAGGGCCACAGATTTAAGATCCCACATGTCCAATCTTCAAATCCCTTTGGTTTTATTGAGGTTTGTCAGGGTTAGCTTTAACAAACGCAAGGTTTCAGGCCCTGATTCAGTGATTTAATGATCAAAATAGAAGAGTCCGTGAAGAAGTTTTAACTTGTGCTGGCTAAAAGTGGCACTGCTTACAGGTAATTATGACAGCTCATTAAAAACTAATTAGGAAAGTTACATCGTTTCCAAGGGAGGAGCATTTATTTTGTCAGGGGCTGCCCAGGGAGATTTGGAGTCCCCATTCCTGGAGGTGTCCAGGGAAGGGCTGGATGTGGCACTCGGTGCTCTCGGTGCTCTGGGGACAAGGTGGGGATCAGTCACAGCTTGGACCTGATCCTGGAGGGACCTTGGAGAGCTTTTAATCTGGTGGGAAAAGCTCTCTTTTCTGAAGCGAGAATCTGGATTCTTCGCTCCCCAGCGCCCACCCTTTGCCCCGCTGGCACCAGAGCAGGTCCCCTTGGAGGAGGCGGCTGGCACCACAGGTACCTCCACGCAAAATAACGACGCTGATAATTAATGGAGAGAAAACAAGCGGATTTTAATAAAGAAATAGGGCGGTTTAAGCATCGTGGCCCGCCACCCTGCTGTGCCCTACAGCCACACTCAACATGGCGCCCCCTGAGAGCGCCGCCACACTCAAAATGGCGGGCGCCCCCTTCCCGTCAGAGCGCAACATGGCGGCGGCGGGGGCGCTTCCGGGGCGGCTGGAAGTGCGCAGTGCCAAGATGGCGGCGGCCGCGGTCGGAGTCTCCTTGAGACGCGGAGTCCCCGGACGGCTCCTGCGGGCCGGGCCGCGGGCGGTGAGAGACCGGGGAGCGGGGAATGGAGCGAGGGGAGGCGCGGCAGAGGCGGCCGGGGGGGCTGGAGGGGAGGGAGAGAAAGGGGAGTGTGAGGGGG